GTCTGTGTTAAGGACACGGAAACAGCAGACTGACCCCGGCCAGACTGGAGGAGCATGGCTGGGAATCCCATGCAGGGGTTCAAGGATATGTCTCCTCTGGCCTCTCACACAGCTGTGCGAGATGACAGGCAGCAACTCTGTCCACCTGGGGCCTGCACACGCTCTCACTGGGAACAGTTCTGGTTGCACACTTGAGCACGGTCTTGTCTGTCTGTTCTGACACATGTGTGGCTTTTCTCCAGAGCTTCAGGTGCAAGTGTCTAAACTACTGTACTTAGCATGAATTGAGTCTTAGGTAAAAGTCTTATCAGCATAACAGTTGTTCCGGTTCGGTGTTCCGAGCAGTTCGGCATTAAGTCCCAATTACATAAAGTGTGTATAAAGACTCAGGTAAAACTTGTGCTGTTAACCTTATCAACATTAAGAATGATTCCTGCGAAGAATTCCAGTCAGTTCTGCTTTCTGCCACATGGTATGCAGCACATCTTGGAACTCAGATGAAATCTTGTTATTCACCTTGTCAACATAGCCAGTGTCCCTTATACATGAGAGAATTCAGCTGAATCGCCTATCTGAGTCTGTTCGTCATCATTGAGGCCTGTACTGTGACTTCTAAACTTCTCCCTATGACACCAGAACAGAAACACACACACACACACACACACACACACACACACAAATCTGCCACTAGTAGAGCAACTGAGAAACCAATATAAAATTTCCCTTTCCCTCTCTCTCTCTCTCTCTCTTTCTGTTCTTGTTTAGGAGGCATAGTAAGGATAAAAAAATCTGTATTTAAAAAAGTCTAAAATTTAGAATTTTATTAAACACAGGCCATTTTCACAACAAAGATGTGAAAGACATTACTTCAGCAGAAAGAACAATTTTTTTTTTTTAACTTTTGGTACTGGGGATTGAACTCGGGACTTTGCACTTGAGAGGAGCTAAATCCCCAGCCCAGAACAATATTTTAAATTGGATTAATTGAACACTTTCACACTCCTATTTATTGATTTATTTATTTTCTGACACTGCACCACCAACCAGAATTTTGAAAATGCTAGTCATCCTGGCTGTGACCAGATCAGACTTAAATGATGTCAAGGATAGGCAGAGTCAATTTATTTTAATATCATTCTGCTAAAGAAAATGTTATGGTTTCTCTTCTCATTCAGTCTAGCATCTTTTGTATTGATTTTCTGGATTTTTAAACCAAGCTCCATACGCTAAGTGGAAGCTTAGTTTATTTCCTCAGTGGAGGAAAAGATAAATTATCACCTTCTTTCCGAAAGTGATACATAGAAATGTTCCAAAAATGTGAAGCATCCTCTCGGTCCTGACTTTGAGTCACTTCCTGCTCTTTTGCCCAGTCTGGATTTCCTGTCATTCTTCTTCTGGGTGCACAAGTGCACTTCTGGGCGGTAGGAGTGCATGGGTTCATGGGACGGTGCCATGACCCAAGGGCCAGAGTCAAAAGACTTGTCCAAGTCTTGTGGTATCACAAGACTAAGCTGGTATCACACCTTAAAGGAGACACAGTGTGGGCAGGGTGAGCGTTGTGCTATACACAGCATCAGCAATGGTTGTAGGGTGCAGGTTCTTGGACCAGACTACAGGACCTCCAGCTGCTTTCTGTACATGATAGGTATTCACCACTTGGAAATTTCATCTTTGAAACTACAAAGTATGGATAACAGCACTTCATACTTCAATTGATTTCTTCTGAGAAATAACAAGTAGGTGAAACTTCAAGGACAGTGCCCAGCATGCCACAGTAGCTCGGGAACGTGTAATGTTCCTCTCAAGCCACAGGAGGTAGCACACATCCCTTCTCCTTGATTTATTTCCCCATTACCTCATGCAATAACTTTAAAAATCAGTGCTTAATGAATTTCAATTGGTCACTTTAATATTAGGCTCTTGGTATTAGCATATTGGTGTTAAACTATTAGACTTTCACTTTTTGGAGGGTATTGTGCTCCCAAATAGTTATCAGTTACCACCAAAACCAAACTCTAATATCATAATCTTATCACCTCTCTTTGACCATGAATGTAGCCATTTCAAGGTGGTCTCATTTTAAAGCTACCTACAGCAATCCATAGCAGCAAAGGAGACCATCAGTAGATGAGTTGTCCATAGGCTAAAGGTGTAAGTCAGGGATGCTCATAATTGCTGGTTGTGTAACAGTTCCCCAACAATTTCAAAATTGTATTCACATCAAGAACTGCGGGGTGGGTGGGGGCTGGGGATTAACTCAGTGCACAGCCAGCACAGTGCCTGCCTGGCAAATGCAAGGTCCTGAGTTCTATCCCTAGTACCAAAAAGGAAAAAAGAACTGCCAGTTTTCACGTAAATGTCTCTGTATTCAGAGGAGACATGGTGACAAAACACAAACAAGACCTGGGTTGGTTCAATCACAGGACCACATGCCAGGTCTGCCTTATCATCTATGGGGACAAGGACGCAGCTCTTGGCTTAGCCCATGCCTTCAAGGGCCTCACCCAGCCGTGCAACGACTTCTGCTGACCATCGTATCCCCAGAGTTTGCTTTTCTAGTGTCATGTTTATCAATGGGAAAACTATGCATCCAGGGTAGAAAAATAATTTCCAGACTCTCCTACCTGGATTGCACTGATGCCAGTGTGAGGCGCTTAGGAGTGGTATTTATTTATATATGCCTTTGTATTAATTAGAAATCACTACACAGGTGCGATAACTTTTAGTCAGGGGACAAAGATGATGAGAAAAGTGGCCACTGACTTCTTGTGTAAATCTTTGGAGAAAAAAAACTTTATATTCATTCACACTGTAAGGCAAGGTTTTAAGATCATGGTAGTTTGAAGTTAAAACATCTAGATAAACTAGAAAGCAAACAAACAAAAACAACAAGTACTTCTATCAGAAAATAAATACAACCAAAGTAAATGTTGCTTTTGCTTATGGATAAATCCAGATTTTGCCACTTGCAACCTTCAGTAAAAGAACTGTGTGAATCAGAAAAATGGAAATAATTGTCCCATGATGCTTTTTACAAATTGTGCCATGAGCCTTTGTATGCAAAATGGTTATCATAGGACTTGGCAAATAGTAGGCATACAATGAAAAGAAACTGCTATACTTATTATTATCTTATTGTTATTACTGTCAGAATGTTTGTGTGTCAGAACTGGGCTGTGGGTAGTTAAATACTTTCTCCCATGCCGTGTTATGGAATTAAAGGAGATTTATAGATTTGCATGTAGTTTATCTTAAGTAAAAGAAGAAGGAATATGAAGGAGACCGCAGCAGCATCAGTGTACAACTCTAACTGTATGTGAGTGTACACCTTAAACTGCAAGTGACTGAAGTTGTGTGAAAACATCTAGCACCTTCCATGCCTCTGCGTACGTAGGGAGCTGCTCTCCTAATTCCCTGCAATGACACCTGCTGATTCTCATCCTCTCTCTTTCCCATCTCTGATTCCTGGGCAGGCAGAGACCCCCACCACCACCGCTGGTGCACTCTGCTCCTCATTTCATATTTGTGTATGTAATTATCCCAGCTATACCACACATTTCAAAAGATCACATTTATTATGTTTGTTCACCAAAAAACGGAATTCCAGGCTGAAAACAGGTAATATTTATGTGTTGTCATCTTGTGGACAAAAGCCAATGGCTATACAATTTATCATTTTGCAAAAATCTTCAGAGGAACCAGCGAGTGAACGTCTGAAAATTAGATTAGTGACTCAGGTAGAAGTTTAGATTCTACTCTTGGTTGCCTGGAAGAAACAAGTTGGATAATTTGTTTCTCCGCCACTTTCTTCATGAAAAGGAGTTACAGCACATATGCGAGACTGAAGCCATAAGCATCATAGCAATGCTGGCTTTTACAGAGGGGACTGGGGTGCAGCCCCGGGAGAGGTGGGGTGGTTCCGTGAGCGAGGGCTTTGGGCTCTGGACCACAGCTTGCTCACAACAACCTCCAGGAACAGAGGAGTCCAAGCGCTTTAATAAGTATTCCAGAGAGTCAGGCTTTCCTGGAAAAAACAAATTAGTGTGAGGAGCCAGTGCCATGCAATTTCAGTTTTAAAAATAGCCAGCATTGTTGAGCCTGCTGTGGGCTCGGGAGCAGAGGAAGGTCCTTGTTAATACTTGCCTCGGCTTCCCACACTGGAACACAGGAGCTACCCTGGGATTCTTGCCTGGTGAACACTGACAGATTGTAGGATTTTTCTTGCTTGGAGTCAGTTTTTGGTTCTGCCCAGGATAGGATCTTAGGGGGAGGAGGGATTTGTCCCCTCCTACCAAGTCGGGCTTTGGGTGAAGGGCAGGAAAGTGGTGCTCTATCTGTGTCCCTGGGGACAGAGCTGTCCTCTCTGTCAGCTCTCCTTTGCCTGATTGCTGGGTGAGGCTGGAGGGGACAGTCCCTGCAGCCCTGTGGCTGTGCTGACTGCAGCGACCCCACCTGGCACTGCCGTGGGTTGGTGCGTCAGCATCCTGGGTTGCAGTGAATGCGAAGTCAGTCAGCAGGACTGCAGTGATAGTACCCACCTCTAACCTAGTCTGTGCATCATTTTGCACCAGTCACCTTAGACCCAAGCAGTGCTCAGGATGGTAAGTGAATTGCAACCCACATGCTGTTGCTGCCTAACTGGGCTTTTATTTTTCCCTCTTTTCAATGCACAGCAAGCAAATCTAACCAGCTCAGGAAACCACGCGTACACTGAATGTCAATATCAAGTTTCATGCCATCTTTCATTTGCCCTGCTGTAAGAGTCAGCTATTTTTTTAGATCGAGTGATAGCCATTGTCAAAGTTAGATGTATGGAGTTGCTGCCTTACTATCTTTACTCCACATTCACAGGGTGAAATTTTTAAAAGCCTGGTATTTTTAGGAGCCTCTGTCCTTCCCTCAGTCTTTCTGGAACTTCTCCTCACTCTTCATGTCAAAACTAGAGTGCTTGAAATTTCTAGATTTACAGTTCTGCCAAGACAGAGTTAAGCACTATTTGGGCTCTGGCTGCCTAAAGGGAGCTGGAATTGTTCAAAGCTGCCATCTTCTGCTCCCAAAGAGCTACAGTAGCTTTCTGGAAAGATCGGGTTAAATATTTGTCCAGACCGTTGTAGGATGATAAGGCGGTAAGAAGTTGTGCAGTGCAACGCGCAGGGTTCCAGACCTCACCAGCCTCTCTCTGTGCTATGTCCATACAGTGAAGAAGATTCTCTCAGCTGTAAAGATGAAGAGCCTGCTGCTTCTGGTGCTAATCTCCATCTGCTGGGCTGACCAGCCCTTGGACAGCTACACTCGGAATCCTGACAGAGTCATTCACATCCAAGGTAAGAAAGCCGGCACTCGTGTGAAAGCCACATTAATTTCAAGTTTCGTGCAGTTGAGACACTGGGCTTGTGTATGCTCATGTTACTTCTGCTGTGTTAACTTTTTCTTCACCTTTCTGCTAATTTCTAAGCACTGTCCCTGGCTTTGGAGAGCTCTTGCGTTAGAAGAGTGTTAAGACTCCGGGATGAATGCAGTTGAACGGCTTAGGATGTCCCACTGCAGTGCATGCATGTGGTCCAGTTTGGGGATTTTTAGTGCAGCTGCCGTTTTCAAGCAGAAGTCAGGGCAGGAAATTCATTAAAATGCACAGTGGAGGGAAGAAATAAGAAGTTAAACTTAGGACATCAGGTCATTCTGCTACTGTAACTGCAATCAGTAGGAGGAGACAGCGCAAAGGAAGTGAAAATCAAACAAGCTAGACCTGGGGAAAAGTAGCTTACCCTATCATAATCTCCTTCGGGAATGCTTTAGCTCCTACAGACCAACATGCTGGCCCTGCGCACTTCTGTGGAGCTCAGCCGAATCCTCAGCCCCGGAGCTGTAGCAACACTGGAGGCTGCAGTACAATGCAGCTCCCTCCTCCACCCAGCTGAGGCAGGGGGACAACCTGCATTAGGAAGGCTGAGAGGCTCATGCAAGAAGAAAAGGCAGTTCTCAGAGGTGTGCATTCTCTCCTGCCCTTGCTTGCTGAATAATTAAAATGCGAGTCACAGAATTGGACAATTCAAACACGTGAGGATATTAATCTTAGGTAACTTCAGCTTGGAGGACCAAAGGCATTGTAAGTTTGCTGAAAGCATAAGCCCTAAGTTGTGTCTTCAAGGCTTAAAGTGTAGTCACAGGAGCCTGCATTCATGGTTGAAATGAGTGACGTGTGAAGGCGGAATGTTAGTGCAAACCTAGCTGGGAATATTCTCCTGCATGCAATGTGATTATCAGTACCTACGGCTTGGAATGTGTCTGTTTCTTGCTATTTTTAGACATATCTCCCTCAGATTTGTTTGCATCCAGTAGTTTTATTTTTTTACTATTGAACCATGAAGAGAAATTATATAATCATAAATTGTGTGGTGCAAGCTGCTGACTCAGATCTTCCTTAATATGTGTAGTAAAACCCACACTATTTCTGGAGACTCGAAGGTGTTTATACATGGAGATAGTTAATGAAAGATAATAGTATTTTGCTTTCTAGCCATAGAGTTTAATTCAGCCCAAACGGTAATAGCAAATCATTGATAACTGCAGTTCTAAAGCAAAGGTAAAATAAACTTTACATTTGTATAACTGGGTTTCAAGTTATTAGTAGATACCTGGGTTAAATTATAAATTATGTGCAAACCATTTAACCTATGTTGTACCTAATTATGGACCTATTTTTATGTATACTCATATTTTTATGTATACTAATAATATTTTAAGATGAAAGTTTCCTCAGTGAGGAAAATTGCTGAGCTCGTTTTCCATCCCCATCCTGGTTGCTAAAATGCAGTGTAAAGAGATTTCTGACCTGAGGTGTCCGAATTATCCAGATGATTTGCATATGCACTCAAATTTTTTTTTTCAAATGCCTTGATAGTCCACTTCATTTTAATTGTAAATTCACATTCTTGGAAAGTGGAGGCTTGCCTGGGAGAACTGTCACAGCTTTCAAGTGAGAGAGCTGGGAAGCCTATATGTGCTGGTGCAATTTAATACTGAAATATTTATGTATTTTTTCAGTATAGATACTGAGTCCTGGGTTACAGGATTATGGGGTTGTGTCCATCAGGGTCTGGCTTTATTTTTGAAAACTTCCAAATACCTATTCTCTTTGCTTTTCCCAGTAAATTTTTTTCCCTTTGCCATTGTGATAGGATTCAAATTTGAACTTTCAGATTTCAGAGTCCTTCAGATAAGCTGCTTCCAAGTGGTTTGTGGTTTGTGTGATTTCAGTTGCTTTAAAGATGCAAAAGTAAATTATGTAGCACAGGAGCGAATCAAGAATGCAGAGCTTTCATTGCTTTCTTAAATACTAGGCTATTGTCTCACATTTAAAACATTTACTTACCATACATGACCCAGAAGTCATTTAAAGGAGCTGAAATCCTCCTCGCAAAATTCTCTAAGAATTTATATTCAGGTGATAAAATTAGCCATCTGAAGCTCAAATGCTGTATCGTACTGATAAGTGGTATGAACTTCTCTCAAGTATAAAGAAGTATTCAACATTCACTTTATTGCAAAAACACCTTTGGAACCTTTCGTTTTTCATTAAGTTTCTGCTTTGGTACTTTAGGGCTCTGAAGCACAAATGATACTGTGGGAACAGTGCATATCAGCCTCAGATTCACCTTGGCTGCTTTGATACAGGTCCTCAACATTTTGATAATTCATTCTGGAGATTCAATGTGTCAGAGTTACTGAATTTGTTCTCTGAGAGCTCCCTCAGCTTTGTCATAGGACATTCTATAGAGACGTAGGAACACAAATGTTTAATTTGTCTTTAGAAAAAAGACAGGGAAGGGGGAGGCGCAGGGGAGGAGAAGGGAGAGAGTAAGGTGAGGGAGAGGGAGAGGGAGAGGGAGAGGCAAATGGTATGTGTAGATCCCATGCAGTGTTTCTGGTAAAAAAATGTTTTTCTAAAATGAAGAAGAAAACTCTCCTAGTTCCTCACAGATATGAAATAAAATTTTACGTATGTTAATTTTTTGTTGTTGTTGTTGAGCTAGTTTGGTTACATAAGAAAGTAAATTTCACATGTTCACAGCCTGATAGAAATATGCAACTGCCATGTTAGGTTCTGTGTTTCATTTGTCCTTGGTGTAGGGAAAGGTGATGCATGTTCTCCAGCACTTCTGCCAGAGGGAAGCCCCCAAGGACACCACTTCTGTAGTAGCTCTGGTGGAGTAAAGTCCTCAGCCTTCATTTACTTTGAAACTTGACACCTGTAGGAAGGGTTTTGCATAGAGTACCAAATCACACAAAAAAACAGTAGTCTACATATCTGAATCAGACCCAAACACTTCTTGTGTAGAGTTTCAGTTGCTTTTCTTGTAGACTTTGAATTGCAAGCAGAATTTCAGAGACAATGAATATATATCTTCAAATACAACATTTAAGAGTGCATTTACAGAGAGGAAAGGAGGTCTGTGACCTTTGCCATAGGCAAAGTAATTATAGTTGCATTGAACATATACCTGTTTGACCTTATTAAGGTCAGAGAATCAGGGGCCGGGGATTTAGCTTAGTGGTTCCGCCACCTGTCTCACAAGCATGAGGTCCTGAGTTCAACTCCCTGTACTGAAAAAGAAAAAAATCAGAATCAGTGCTTCCTGCACCTGGCATTTAAGCACGTACTTCTGATAAGTTTAAATCTTTCTCTTGCACCCCCATCATTTAGCCTAAGCCTAAGAAAGTTTACTTAACCTCTTCCTGGCTTAGTTATATCACTTATAAAGTGGAGCCTTGTCACTACTCTTGCCATAGAGCATTGTGAGAATGAAATGAGACAGTACGTGTAGAAGTGCTTAGCACAGTATCCCGGTGCACAGTAAGCACCCAGAACATGATAGTCCATATCGTTGTGTTCCTCATTTCCTTATTCTTATGGAAAACAGATTTTTAAATACATTATGGACCATGATCATAGTGGAAAAGTTTTCAAAATACATTTGTTGACACAGCCACATCTTACTTCAGTTCTAATAAATGTTTTATGTTACCTCTTTTGTCTTCTTAAATTTCACAATTGAAAATTTCCCCAAGATTAAATATTATCCAATCACTGTTACTTTCCTTGTAGAAACAGAAATGCTTTCCAAACCTAAGCAATATTTTCCTTTAATACCCTGAGCATGTGCACACAGATAAACCAAATTTTTGCAAGCAATAACAAGAGGAAATCTCAGAAATAAAACCTGTTCCCTTTTTTTAGTAAGTAAAATTTATTATCACCTTTCTCAAAAGATAAAAGAATTTTTAAAGGGAGAATGTTCAGAAAAATAAATAATAAAAATCCAGAATCACGGGCGGAAGTGGACCCTGCCCGCTTATCGTGGGTACTTCCTGCTTCCTCTGTGAGTTGTGAACACCACCTCCAGTCCAGGTCAACCTGAGTCACTTGATGTGACATCAGGCGCTGCATGTCCCCATGTAACATGCTACATAGTAGTGCCCGGCGCACAGTGGGTGCCGCCAAACATGTGTATGTTGAGTGACTAGTGAGCAAGACAATGGGTGTGACAAGACACCTCCCGAAGCCCAGTGTCATAACAAGGCACCGCGTGGACACACTGTGTGGGTGAGGACCTTCCGCCAGATGCGTGCAGGTACTAGTGTTGGCGGTGGCTCCCAGAAGCTAAGATCACAACAGGACTCCAGTAAAGACCGCCTGAATCAACGTCTCATCGGATAAGTGAGGAAATCAAGACCTTCAGCTGTGACTTTGGTAGTCTCACAAGGCTGATCAAAGGCAGTTTCTCTTGGCCAACGCCCCGCTTGCCAAATGTGTGCTCATCCCTCCCCTTTCTAAGAAAGCTCACCTGACGACTGCCCTCCCCCATCTCTGTCATCTTTTTCTTCATTTGTCTTTCTCTCTGCAGCACTGGCTAAACTTGTCTTGTGTAATTAACTGTGGTTCAGTACTGTGTGTCCACAGGGACACACAGCAGCCCACTAGCTCAGGGTTCTGCATTTGATGAGCAATCCTGTGTGTTCTCCGCATCGCAGGCAGTGCCTTACATGCCATAGGGGCCAACAAGGTGGGAAGGAGTCGTCTCCCTGACGCGGGCACACAGCCTGGAGGAGCTCTGGGTTCACATCCGGTCACTGCGATGCCATCCAGTTCCTTATGTAAGAGCTGCAGAGTAGCGAGCTGGGGGTGCAGAGTGGATCCAAAGGGCAGAATGAAGTTAACAATGTATGGCCACAAGCTGAGCGCCGGAGTTTAATGGGAGAGCCACACCGGTGTTATTGACCTTATGTCTTTCTCTCCTACCCAAAATTCATTTGAAATCTCTGG